CTCTATCCAGTGGTGCATTCGCTATTTTTCTAGCTCTATTGGTTGGTCAGGGAAAAATGTTTGAAAGTCACTTTGCTTAAAAACGCCGCGCGAAGCCAAAGTGCGCTCACTTCAATAAAAATTCGCCAAAAATCCTCAAAAAATCGACAATAAATCGGAATTGGCGGTCCTAATAGAGTCAAGTGCGTTCTATCCGGTGGCGTATCAAGTATTTTTCTGGCTTTATTGGTTTGCTCGCGAAAAATCCTGAAAGGTCACTTTGCAAAAAAGTGACGCGCAAACTAAAAAGTGCGCCGCCTGATTAAAAATTCGCCAAAAATCCCGAAAATGCGCCAGCGAACTGCAGTTTGCCGCACTAGTAGAGTCAAGTGCGCTCTATGCAGTGGCGTATCAGGTATTTTTCCGGCTCTATTGGTTTTCTCGCAAAAAAATCTGAAACGTCACTTGGCAAAAAAGTATGGCGCCAAGTCAACAGTGCGCTGGCCCGATAAAAAATTCGCCAAAAATCCCCCCAAAACGCCACTGGATTGGACTTCGCCCCACTAATAGAGCTGAGTGTGCTCCATCCAGGGGCGTAACACGGAATTTTCTAGCTCCATCGGTTTACCGGCAAAAAAAACATTGAGACGCACCACGTTTGTGAACCGAGCCAAACCATCGCTGTTCCAAAGCATTGCGCGCTGTTGCCACACTGAAGGCGCTAACCGCGTGATTTTTTGCAGAGTCGCTCCTCAGCGCCATGACGAAGCTGATCGACCAGAAGCTGAAGCAGCAGCCGGCAACACCGGCCGCGCCCACAAACGAGGAGGAGGCGCAAGACTCCTACAAGAACCCGAGCCTGCACAAGAACCAGCTGACAGAAGCGCCGGCCGCTGTCAAAGAGACCAAGCCGGAGAAGGAGAAGGAGGAGGACACGCGCGCCTCTGAGCAGGTGCCAGACAATGACAGGCACATTTGCGTCAAGTTGCGCAGGTCCGAGTCGCTGAACAAGCCGACGGACCGTGCGCTGCCCTCATTGGCTGCGAAAGTGAGACGGAGCGAGAGCCTGAAGCGCTCGGACAGCCTGACCAAGACAGAGAAGACCGAGAGCAACATCAATAAGCGACGCGAGCTGCTGTCATCGGGCAGACGGTTCAAGGAGGCGACGACTGCGACAAAGAATAAGCGCAAGAACGGGATGCCAGATCGGTCGATCAAGCGACGTCACACAGTGGGCGGCACGAAGGACCCGGACAAGGTCACCTACTTGATGGACAATCGGCGCGACGAGAACAACCCGCATGCGCAGAACAACAAGGAGAAGGGGATCAGAACGAGCTCGCCCGATCTGAGCGGCAGCAGGCGCGAGCGCTTCCTCTTCGAGATCAATCTGATCGCGCCTGAGAACATGGTGGTGGCGCTGAAGCAGCATCTGATCGGCACCCGATCAGAAATCAGCGCTCAGAACACGTTTAAGGTGCCGCTCGAATCTCACGTGTAGAACCGAGGTGGAGTGCAATGGAGGCCGGGGGCTGATTGATCAATTTTTATGGTATTCTAACCAAATGTGATATTAGGTTAAGTTTATATGGAACCCTGCGGCAGAAGCTTTGAATGAGTCCCGGTAGGGGCCAAGGTTGATTGAGGTACGTCCTTTTAATGTCCCGAAAAGTCGTTAAAAAAACGTCGGGCTTTTTGCTCGTAGGTCGCACTGACAGACGTTTTTTCGACGTACGTACTTTTAGCGTCCCGACAAATGCGTTTATGGGACGTTGGTTGTTCGCCTGCAACTTCAAATGTGCGGCTTTGCCATTTTAAATAATTCTTCTTTGCAGTTTTTGTTTAGATGAACGTGCCTTTAACGTCCTAAAAAGTTTTCCAAAGAACGTCGGTAATTTTCGAGAAATATTGATCACTATTGCAAATACATCGCTTTTTTACGTAAAATCACACTTGCCGTGCGTGTTCTGACAAACGCACTTTTAACGTCACCAAAATGCGTTTTTAGGACGTTGGTCGTTGACCTGCAACATCGGTTTAGGCAACTTCAAATGTGCGGCTTTGCCATTTAAAATCATTCTTCTTTGCAGTTTTTGTTTAGATGAACGTGCCTTTAACGTCCGAAAAAGTTTTCCAAAGAACGTCGCTAATTTTCGAGAAATATTGATCACTATTGCAAATACATCGCTTTTTTACGTAAAATCACACTTGCCGTGCGTGTTCTGACGAACGCACTTTTAACGTCACAAAAATGCGTTTATGGGACGTTGGTTGGTGACCTGCAAAATCCGTTTAGGCCACTTCAAATGCGTCGCTTTTTCACTTGACATCACACTCATGCGGCGTTTTTTTGACGTACGTACATTGAACGTCAGAAAAAATGCCTACGTGCTCATAACGTCCCAAAAACGCTAATTTTCGAGTAATATTCATGAAAGCTATTGCAAATACACCGTTTTTTCGCGTAAAATCATACTTACCGTGGGTTTTCTGACAAACGTTCATTTAACGTCCGAAAAATGCGTCACTTTTCCACTTCCACTTAAAATCACACTCACGCGGCGCTTTACACCGTTTTTTCGCGTAAAATCACACTTATCATGCGATTTCTGACAGGCGTACTTTTAACGTCCCAAAGATACGTTTATAAGACGTTGGTTGTTGACTCACAAAATCACACTTTGTAGTGCGTACGTACTTTCAACGTCCCAAAAAGTTTTTTAAAGAACGTCGGTTATTTTCGAGTGGTATTCATTAACATAGTTGCAATTTTTGTCGGTTTTTCAGATAAAATCATACTGACTTGACGTACTTTTAATGTCCCGGAAAGTCGTTAAAAAAACGTCGGTCTTTTTGCTCGTAGGTCGCACTGACAGACGTTTTTTCGACGTACGTACTTTTAGCGTCCCGAAAAATGCGTTTATGGGACGTTGGTTGTTGGCCTGCAACATCGGTTTAGGCAACTTCAAATGTGCGGCTTTGCCATTTAAAATCATCCTTCTTTGTGGTTTTTTTTAGATGAACGTACCTTTAACGTCCCAAAAAGTTTTCCAAAGAACGTCGGTAATTTTCGAGAAGTATTGATCACTTGCAAATACATCGCTTTTTCACGTAAAATCACACTTGCCGTGCGTGTTCTGACAAACGCACTTTTAACGTCACCAAAATGCGTTTTTAGGACGTTGGTCGTTGACCTGCAACATCGGTTTAGGCAACTTCAAATGTGCGGCTTTGCCATTTAAAAT